CCAATGTGTGGCATGGAAGACTAGGACATGTTAATTATGCATCTCTTCGGAAATTAATTAACATGGAATATATCCCTAAGTTTGACATCGACCAGTCCCACAAATGTGAGACGTGTGTCGAAGCAAAGTCAACGCGAAGTTCGTTTCAAACAATTGAGCGAACCACTCAGCCACTGGATTTAATTCACACGGATCTGTGTGATTTTAAATCAACGCCTTCAAGAGGTGGTAACAAATATGTTATCACTTTTGTCGATGATAACACGAAGTATTGCTATATTTATTTACTAAAAAGTAAAGATGAGGCGTTGGACACTCTCATTTGGTATAAGAATGAAGTAGAAAATCAACTCAATCGCAAAATTAAAGCGATTAGGAGTGATAGGGGCGGGGAGTACGAAGCTCCATTCGCCGAATTGTGTGCACAACAAGGGATTGTGCATCAAGTAACTCCGCCATACACACCCCAATCAAATGGTGTGGCGGAACGTAAAAATCGCACTCTCATAGATATGATGAATGCGATGTTACTTAGTTCGGGTACTCGATAAGACTTCTTACGAGTTGTGGTATAATAGGAAACCTTCCTATAAATACCTGAAAGTGTGGGGGTGCCTTGCAAAGGTTTTAGAACCACCACCAAAGAAAATAAAGATTGGTCCAAAGACCGTTGATGGAAACTTTATTGGCTACAGTGGTAGCGCGTATCGATTCTTAGTATATAGGTCTGATAATCCAGAAATACATAAGAACACGATAATGGAATTGAGGAATGCAACATTCTTCGAAAATATATTTCCGTTAAAGTCGAGGGAAGAAGCAAGTTCGTCCAAACGTTCACATGATGAAATGTTGAACGATGGTTCTTCGGATCAGTCTAATACCGGTATAATTGATGAAACCGAAACTGAGACTGAACTAAGACGAAGTAAAAGGACACGTACTAAGAAGTCCTTTGGTAATGATTTTCTAACTTATTTGTTGGAATTTGAATCAGGGACTCTATCATTTCTGATAGAGACTGAACCCGATATTCTAACATGTTTATTAGAAAATGACCACGAACTTATTGTGAAGTAGTGACTTCATCTGAAGGCCCTCAGTGGAAAGAGGCAATTAAAAGTGAAGTTGATTCTATTATGCAGAATCATACTTGGGAGTTAGTTAATCTATCTCCTGGATGCAAATCGTTAGGTTCTAAGTGGATCTTTCGGGGGAAAATGAAACCAGATGGTTCCATTGATAAGTACAAAGCCAGACTTGTAATTAAGGGTTACAATCAACGTGAGGGCTTTGATTATTTTGATACATATGCCCTTGTGTCAAGGATAAATTCCATTAGGATGATACTTGCAATAGCTTCCTTGGAACTTAGAAGTTCATCAAATGGATGTGAAAACAGCTTTCCTTAATGGAGATCTAGAAGAAGAGATCTACATGGAACAACCAGAAGGGTTTATAGTTCCTGGTCAAGAAAGGAAAGTATGCAAACTCGTTAAGTCAATATATGGTCTTAAATATGCGCCAAAAGTATGGCATGAGAAGTTTGTCCAGGTAATGATGAATTCTGGGTTCAAAATTAATGAATCAGACAAGTGTGTTTATCTAAAAAACACATCCCAAGGGTATGTCATGTTGTGTCTATATGTAGACGACATACTCTTAGTTAGTAGCGATGACAACATGGTCAAGTCTACCAAAGACATGTTAAACTCGCGATTTGACATGAAAGATATGGGTCTGGCCAGGGGCAGATGTAGGAAGACCTTATTGGGGGCAATGGCCCCCAGTCAAATCTGCCTAGTTAGTATTAAAAAAATATAAAAATTGGGTGATTAGAGAACCTGCCCCAGTCTCTAAATTAATGTGCCCCCAGTCCTCGCCCCAACTCGTCAAGCCCAAAAAGAAAAATAAGTCCCTCATAAACTAAAAAAAGGGGTTTAGGTAGTTAATAAGTGTACCATATTTACGGCTCCTCGTCACCTCTCTCCTTATTGATTTTTTTAAATAATTGATCGAAATTTCTTTTGCCTGATAGGCAGTAATTGATTTTTACGGATCCTCACAATTGCGACCTGACCCCATCCACCACTCCAAGAATTTTTTTAATGCTCCGTAACTTACTTTTTTGTTATTTAAGAAATGCTAGATTCACAAACAAATTTGTCATAAAATCCATAAATTTAATATTTGTAAATTTCAATAAAATTTTTTAATTAGTCTAAAATAATTTTGAAATAAAAATTTAAACTATAAATGATAAAATTGTGAAGGTTGTGACTATTCTGTTTGTGAATGTAGCATTGCTCTTTTAATTTTTCATTTTTGGTGTAGAAAAATTGGGTTTATGAGATACTATATCAGTTATGTTTTGGGCAAATTTTATGGTAGACCTTAGGTTCAATATGGACTTACATATGACCAAAATAAGTATTTTTTACTTATTCCCTTTTTGTTGAAATTAAGGAAGAGTCAAATCAAATTTTTTTCCCCTAAATTACCCCCCAAATCCCCCAAGTATTCTTCCCACTCACATGGATGAATAGTGTGCGAATAGTGTAGGAGTGTGAGGGTAAAAGAGTCAATTCCTTGTAAAGTTATTGACTTTGTAATTCTTTTTGGGGCAAAAATGTGAGGGAATATTGTAATCTATTTCAGGACGGAGAGAGTATTTAAATAAACATTTGTGTTTTTAAATAAAAAAAATAAAAAAGACTTTTTTATGTGAAAAGGTTCACAAAATTTATATGCATCTAAGATGCACTAAAGAAGCATTCTATGTTCTGACTTTGTTCTATTTCGTTCCTATTTTATACTTCCTCTCCCAAAAAAATTCACAATTTGATTTTTAGGTCAAACTGTGCAATATTTTGAATATAAATGAGGGAAAAAGCATATTTAATTATAATGTAAAATTAGGTTCATTTAAAAATATCAAAATTTGACTATAAAAGTCAAACAATGATAAATTTTTTTAGACGAAAAAAAAGTACGGAATATGATTTTTTATTCAATTGAATGCATTATATTATTTTTCTAAAAACATAGCATTAATATATATTTTTGAATACATGTGTTAAGTGTGAGATATAATTGAGATTTGAGAGAATATAATAACTAAAAACACTATAATTGAATTAGGGTATAAATTGATGTGCACCCTAATATATAGGCTCTCATTCTTTGGTTAAAAAATTACTAAAATACGGAGTAATCTATTGTATTTTTAATGGTTAGAAATATAGAGAAATTTTTAAAACAAAAAATTCCTTCAACATACGAAACAAAAAATGCAGTCTAAAATAATTGTTGTCAAACTAATTCATTATGATAAATTGTAATCGTTATACACTTAACTTATTAATATGGAGTATTTATAATCGTTTGAATAGAATTAAAACGCTCTATATATAAAATTTAATAGTTAAACTAAGTTAAGTGATACAGAGTATACTTTTAAAATTTTACTATCCCATTTTAGATTATTTTTTTAATTTTAATTGTTTGAGAGGTTATTTGAATAATAAAAAATACTCCCTCCGTCCCAAAAAGTTTGTTACGTTTAGAAAAAACTGCTTCCCGTAAAGTCCGTTACATTTCTATTAAAAAACCACTTTTACCCCTTACTTTTTCATACTCTACCTATCACATCATATTTTTTCTAATAATCTACCCATCACATCCTACTTTTACCCATCACATCAAGGATATTTTTGGAAAGTCAATATCAAAATATCCCTCCCTTAATTTCCCAAAAAGTCAAACCGTCTCATTCTTTTTGGGATGGAGGGAGTATTACTTTGGAATATTTTTAACATTTTTTGTCATTTTACATTGCCTGTAAAAGAAATCCGAAGACATAGCCCCGGACCCTATAATACAATGCCCCCAGTCACCTATAATTCTGGATCCGCCACTGGCTGAGATCTGCCATCGCTGAGGAAGAAGTCCACCCGGAGGAAGAAAAAAGTTGTCGCTGCTGAGGAAGAAGTCTGCCCGGAGGCCTTCTAAAGCTCCCCCTTTCTGTTGAGATATGTCGCTGCTGCCAGTGGCGTTCTCGGAAAACCGCCCACCATACTTAAATTCTCTTCTGCATCGGAAGAAATTACGTTTCTCTCCGTCGCCGAAGATTCACCTCCATGAATTTGAGGTTATGGAGCGGCGAGAGGGTGGAGCGACGGCTCGCGCGGTGGATTTGGACGGCCGAACATTTCAACAGGGGATGATGCGTCAGAGGAGAGGAGAGAGAAGAAGGGAGTGATTTAAATTGGTGCGCCAGATAGGCATCCACGTAGGATAGGTAATCGGTTTTTAACCTGGAAACCGGCTAAAATACCATCGGTGAAAGAAACTGTTAAATTGAATTACTCTTCTGAAAGAAAACAAAGTTAGTATTTAGCCTAAATATTAATTTGAAAAAAAATATACTCCCTATTTATTGACTATCATTTTTTGGAATTTATTCATTTTCTCACTCCGCTTATCACTGTTGTGCTGTCTGCCTCACATCTTCTGGAGAATTCTAGAGGGAGAAATGATCCTTCTAGTTCAATGAAGAACCCGAATCCCCTCTATAAAATTTCCACCACCTCAATTGGATTCAATACTCGACGCTGTTCCCCGTACTCCCTTATTCACGCGATTGAGTTACAGTTCACCGAAATTGAATCCCCGCTCCGTCATTGTTAGGGTTCTGAAGAAATCGCGGTTCACTTAATTGCGTCTTTAAGGAGAAATTCATTTCGGTTTACCTCGTTCCTGAGAGAATGAAGATGGAGAATAGTTTCCCACTGAAGATGAAGAGGAAGGACCTCGAGCAAGTGTACGATGAGTTCTCGGATTTTTCTCTCTCTGCCCCGGCTAGAAAAATCCGCCGTCTGGTAAATTTGAATTCAATGATTTTTGTATATCTGGAATTAGGAAAGCCATTTGTTCATAAACCATCAGCTAGTTAGTTGAAATTATCTCCTGCTAAAACCAGAGCGTAGCTGAGCAGAACATTCTGGAATGTTTTAGGATGCTGAGTTGCCACCCATATTGGAAGACCAAGAAGATTGCCAAGATGTTGCCATAGCATATGAGCCATTATCCAGCGGGCAGTCCTTCACAAGCTATGGAGGGAGGGGTGTAGAGATTGAGGAATTACCGAATGAACCTTATAACAAGGAGACTGCTATTGTGCTTTTCAAGCCGGAGAATCATCTCTTTCCCTCCCCTCAAAATTTATCTGTCAAGATTGATCCTATGTTCATGTATGGGTTGAAGAGTAAGTGCTGATTTTCCTTGCTGAAAATCTGATTTCATTGGTCTTCATCCGTGTTGAAAATTGGTTGATGTTGATATTTTATATTGAGATTAACCCTAAAAACTTTGCCTGGATGCAAGATGTTAGTAAAATGGGAATGGGATATGATTGAAGAAGCTGGTTATGCACTTATGGTCATAGATATTTTGCTATGCAGCATTAATTTGGTAGATTTTGTCAGCCTAACAAGTTGAAATAATTCAAGTAGTTAAGGGAGTTACTTAAAAAAAGAATTGCTAGTTGAACATCATGAAAGAGAACTACTAGAAAGGGATCTGTTCCTAATATTGCCTCTGAAAACAGTGTTTGATTGTTTGAATGTGGGTGTTAATGCTCCTCCCACCATTATCTCATGCTAGTGGAATCATTTATATGTAGTAATTCACTTCACTTATTCTTTGTTCTCTGGACGAACTAAACAATTTAGAAGAATGGTGTTTCTCTTTTTCCAGATCAAGCCCCATGGCGAAGCCAATTTTATCCAATGGCGCTGTCTGAAGCCGATGAAGTTTTAGAAGCTAGCAACTCCAACGAGTGCCGCGCAGTAGTTCCCTGGGTGCCATCTCAGTTCTCCACACGCGAACCTGATGTTTCATCTCAAACTGACACTACAGATATGATGATGGATGCTGAAGAACCGGAAGGGGTAACAATGGAGGTTGAAGACAACGGCGTAGCCCTGGAAGGAAAGGGTATTGATGCTTCGGGAAATGAAGGGCTGCAGCAGTGGCAGCAACAGTATTGCATGATCCCGCCGCAGCCTCTCCAGAATGCATCTCCTCCCATCACTTGGTTCCAATGATATATAGATGCTTATTGCTTTGTTAAGCCTTCGGATGACTTCTTGTATTGTAAGGATGATGAGTAGTAGTGTTGTCCGCTTTGTTGTTTTAGAAGAAAAAACACAGAGTGGCGATCTGTGCATAAGTCTACTCATTGAAATGCGCCAAGGTGTTTGGCTGTGGTTCTTGGAGACAAAAGTAACCCTTTTCATGAAAAGCTTTAAATGCTCGCGGACTCTTTGTCGCATGACTAACATAAACTGTTGGGATTATTTTAGATAAAATAAATTTTTGGGTAAATCTAATGGCAAACAAGTAAATTCTAGAATTGTGATTTATAACATGGGGTTTTTTATACTCCATCTGTCTCTAAATATTTGTCACACTTGTATTACCGAGACAAAATATTACTCCCTCCGTCCCAAATTATAATGCCTGTTTACTATTTACAGGGTCAAATTTCATTCACTTTATTTCTCTATTTTTGTTAGCAATTTGATAAAATAAAATATTATTGTCACTACTAGTTTTGTAGATCTTTTGATGTAGTTTTTTAATATGTAATTTTTATTTTTTAACTCTATACCATTTGTCATATAAAATGGTTTGAAAATAATTTCAGTCAAACATCGTAAATCGAAACAGGCGTTATAAATTGGGGACGGAGGTAGTAAGTTTTTTCAATTTATTTTATTTACATATTGGTAAAAAATAAATTTTACATATCAAAAAACTATATGAAAAGTTCTTTGAAATAAGAGATGTCAAGAATATTTTATTTTATCAAATAACCAATAAAAACGTAGAAATAAACAAAAGTTCCCGCGACTGCTAAAAAAACAAGTGTGACAAATATTTTGGGACGGAGGGAGCATTTAGTTTTCTATTATGAAATACTACGTTTCTGGTTTTAAGGATACTTTTCCACGGACAGCTTTTTTAATCTTCTGTTATGTTGGTGTAAAATTGAGGGATAAAAGTATAATTTCAAAATGATTACATAATATTTTTACGGACTTTTGTTGATGTGTTGTTTGTCATCTATTTTAGTGTATTTGTTCAATTTGACTTATTTGTGTGAAGCTGGATAAACTTTTAAATTTTCCTTATTCTCAATTTGTATTGAGTACTAGTACAATGAAACATAATTTTCAAAATTCTCAACATAATAAATCTAATAAAATTAATTTTATATTAATATACACTACAATTTTTATTTTATTGAATCTCAAAATTCATATTGTTTGATTTAAAAAACTCAAACTTCGACAAATATACTAGGACAAAGTATTTGATATTGATGATTAAATATGAAACACTCTCTGTATAAAGGGCTGATTACTGAATTTATTCAACGATAGTTGGTTTAATGGAAAATTTAAAAAGAAGTTTCTTATGAATAACCTATGACGCTCTTCTCGTATATAGATCTCAAAAATGTGTAATTTCCATATAATACAAGATAGACTGCTACTCACGAACTAGTATTACTAAACGTCCAGATTGATTGAACCATGAAAATAATTACATTGGATTTCTTCTTAATTGCACTCGTAAATAATTTACAAAATGGTATTTTATCACAAGTACATATAAATGACAATGTAGTCATGCCTTTCGTCAATTGGGGTTTTACTAGATTTGTTGTTATTGCTAATAAAGTGTACAAAATTTGATGGAAGAATAACATATGAGGTGATATTGTTAACCTTGATTAACCCCGTACGTCTTAAAGTATTTCTCAGGAGCAAAGTGCACACTCATTATAATAGTGACTTTTCCTATTCACATTACACTATTTGTTTAGCAAATTAATCTATTCATCCATGCATATTAGTGTGATGTTTTTGATCTATTCAACCATCTTTAATTTTGCAATGATTTAGGGTTGGTGCTTCTTTTGTAACACACAATTAGACAAGGGACTCATATTACACTTTTAACATATGCATGCACTCCAAATCATAATTCACACTATTACGCACAATGACTTGCTTGTACTTTTAACATATACACTCCAAATCCTCCGTCTTGTGCTGCTTTCAGTTTTTTATTATATTGTACAACTTTTTTATGTTTTTCCATAGTTTTCAGAACCGAACCGGTGATCGAACCGGTCAAGTCACTGGTTCACTGGTTTACTGGTCGAACCAGTGGTTCGAGTGGTTGAACCGGTGGTTCAAACATTTTTAATTAATATATATATATATATATATATATATATATATATATATATATATATATATATATAAAAACTGATATATGATTAATAAAATAATATTTTCTCTATTTATAAATAAAGAATTGATGTTTTACTAAACTTAAAGTTTAACTTAATTTACTTGAGTTGTTTCATTAAATAAAAAATAAAATTTACTTATTTAAAAAATCTTAGAAATAAAAAGTGATTTGAATTTTTTTAAACATTTTATCTAGTATTTAAAAATATATACATTTTATTTGTGTGATATGCAATCCATATCAATTACCTCAATGGGTTTTGAATTTTAGTAATAAAAAAAAACTATATATACTTAAAAAGTATTTGATAAAAAATTTGAATGAAAAATATATATCAATTGAGTAGTAGAAGGTTCCCACCAAGCAACGTAGCAGAGATGGTTTGGAGACGCTCTTCCCTACCATCTAGTTCTGTGTTCAAACCCCCGGGCGTGCGTTTTTAAAATTCTTCATAAAAGAATTGGAAAAACGGAACCGGCGGTAAAACCGGCCGGTTTTCTCTGGTTTTAACCGGGGTTCCCACCGGTTCATAGTCAAAGGCGGTCTTCATGCCTGGACCGGACCGGTTTGGTGTCCGGTTCACCGGTTCCCGGTTTGAACCGGCCGGTCCGGTCCGGTTTTTAAAACTATGTGTTTTTCATTCTTATTCTCGTCTTTAGGGAAGTTTTTGAACACAGTTCAATCTAGACATCAAAGTTCTACAAAAACAAGTGATAATATGACTATATTATTTTATTAAACTCACTAACGAAAATAAATTAATATAAATAAAATTTACTTATGAATAATAAACATGTCTTTTAATTTAAGATGAAAAGAGTATTTCTAAGCTCTTCAAAGTGCTAAACTCATCTGGTATACACGAACCAAACATTGTTAAATTCTTACCTTAGAAACAATAAAAAAATAGATATAAAAAACAATGAAAATGAGAAAAATAACTAAAACCATACAAAATTAATGAAATAAATAATGTAATCAATAGAAATTAAATAGAAACTGGTAAAAAATAAAATAAATATATACGGAGTGGTGGGTTTTAACATTTTACACACTATACGGAGTCTTAACGTACTACTTATTTTTTAAAAGAACAAGCCGTCCGGTAAGTTGAAATTATTGTAGATAATTTTTTCTAAAAAATAAGAAGTGATACGTTAATACTTTATATAGTGCGTAAAATATTAAAACCCGCCCGTATATTTTTATTTTATTTATTACCAATTTCAAGTTAGTTTCTATTGATTACCTTATTTATTTTATTATCTTTGTATCATTTTAGTTACATTTCTCATTTTTTATTTTTTTATATCTATTATTTTTATTTTTTAAAGCTAAGACTAATCTTTAAAAAAGGAAAAAGAAATGATGATGGAGGTAGAAAGTAATTTTAAAAATTTAAATGAAAAATTCAAAAAAAATGAAAATTCATCAAAAATAATCCCAACTTTCATTTTGTTGCCCAAAACAGGCATTTCCGTTAACCTTCCGTTAGAAACTTAACGGCGACTCAAAACTCGCAAAATTCAGTAAAGTTCGAATTATTATGCATCACACTGAAAGGTGAGATTATTTTTAAAAGATCGGGTAAGTTAGGATTATTTTGGATAATTTTTTCTTTTATTTTTTAAAACAATTAGCTGCAGCAAAGAAGCACTCAACATTGTTAAAGTTTCTTGACAAGGATTTCATAACCTACTTGATACAAGCTAGAATCTTACAAGAGAGAAACAAGTTAAATTCTTACAAAACCAACTCGAGATGCTATTCTGTGAAAAGTTTTCTCAAAATTCAAATATTTCTTTGATATGAAATAAAGTTTAGAGTCCAAAGTGAAACTAACTAAAAGATGAAGTACTATAAGTAAAATTTACCCAAGGTTCCATTGTGTTCCACTGAGGTAAAATCACGTGATTAACTTCATCCACAAGTGCGAAAACCAGTCACGTATGATAAAAGCCAGAGCCTTCTTTGTTAAGTACTACCTCCGTCTAAGAGTATTCATCCAATTTGACTTTTTCGAGTGAAATTGGACAAACTTTAAGCCTTGATTAAGTAAAAATTATAATGTATTAGTATAAAAATGATTTCAATATATCTAACTTGTTTAGAACTTTCAAAAATATATTCCATTATATTAATATTCAATATAAATTGAGAATAATTGATAATTAAAGTTTGTCTAGTTTGACTCAAAAGAATCAAACCGGCTCAAACAGAGGGAGTACTTCATCACATCATTGTACGTTGTTAATTAAATAGAGATTTAAGAGTATATGACCTTGACAAAGCACATGCAAGTTATAGAGAAACTAAAATTAACCCCAAGAAACACTTAACATGAAAATAATCCGTACATATGAGTCTGAAAAACTTAATTCATGCGGAAATAGTGATTTTCAAAATTCAGTGCATCAAACACAGCAGATATTTAGAATATAGAAACTATCTAGTCAAAGAGTCCGAGTCCATATTCTTCCTCACTGTCTTCTATCACTTCCTTCTTCTCCTCGGCAGGGGCAGCTTCAGCCGCGGCTGCACCGCCAGCAGGAGCAGCCGCTGCACCACCTCCAACACATGCTGCAACACTAGCACCGCCAACAATAACCTAAACGAAATAATGAACATTTAAACAGCCATACTGGTGTGTTGATACAAGCTAATCGTAAAACTATATTAGAATAGTGAGAATTAAATTACTAATTGTGTTCAGGCAAGGAAAGATTAAAACTGACCTCCATTAGGCAATGTGTGGAAGGAGGTAAATGTAGCTTTATTAGGTAGGTATATTAAGGTATCCGAAGTCTAGATAGTGTGTCATAGGAAATGAAATATATTGGGATAACTAAGAGGTAGGTAATCATAAAACGCTTGGAAGGAAGATAATGATGCCAAGTTACTTCCATACCCACAATTTAATATACTCCAATCAAGAAAATATCTAATATAGGATTTTAAAAACCCTAAAATCCTCTTCTTGTCTTTCTTGTTGCTGCAAACTGTGAAGTGGCATGTGTACGGAAGTGTGCAGAG